CACACACACACACACACACACACACACACACACACACACACACACACACACACACACACACACACACACACACTGTATAAAAAACATATCCCATCATGTTTATGTTTAGTGATTTCTTTTTGTTAATTGACAAATAAACCAATAAAAGGTCCTGCGTAACGTTCTTTTCAACGTTTTTCAGCAAACTYCTTATATTTCTTGAAAATAAGATATAATTTGTCAACAAATGTAAAAATACTTAGGAAGGAGACTTGATCTTTATCAATAAGGTTCAAAGTGGTTGTAATAGAATTAATTTATTACATGTTGTTTAAAGATTAGAGAAGAGATATTCACAGGGCTCCCTGTTCAAAGAATATGGATCATTATGGATGTTTCTTCTTTTTATTTCACAAGTAAAATGCTTTTATGTCAGTATCTTGGGAAAAAAAGTGTTTTGTATGTCAGTTTATTTCTCATTTGACTATTTTCAGAGGTTACCCAGCTTACCAGTACCCAGGTGGGAACTCTTACCCCACCACAGCTGGACCTGGACACTACCCCACCCAGCCTCCTGTCTCCACTGTGGGTATGTATTAGAGTAGTTTTGTGCTTGAAATCCCTCTTATTAGCTTATCTTCCACTGGTCAGAAACATAAATCAAAGCACAGTAATGTTCATTAAAAAGGTGATTGTCTGCACTTTGCTGTGTTATCCACATTAAAATATCATGTTAAAAGTTATGGAAAATCCTGTCCAGATAAATCTATAAGTCTTCATGTTCTTCGGTTTACCCTGACTGAAGACTCTTGACCTTTTTACTCTAGTCTTTCACCCTCTGAGTGGCTTCAGTGGCACGCTGAGCTACCAGTCAAAGGCCAATCCTGTAACTAGAGTGGGGGGTATTAAAGGCCAAAGGATAGGAGAGACTCTCTCCCTTCCCCCCATAAACTATGCTACTGTCCACAAAGACCTGCAAGCGTGAAAAGCTGCTCCTTGATGTGCATGCTGGAGGATTTTTGGTTGACTTCTATATTTAGTAGAGAGAAGACATGGGTTTGCCTCTGGGTTGACTCAACTCTGACATTTGTGGTGCATAGGGTTGCCTTCAGTGCATTTACTTTTGCACAAACTGGAAAGTTGCTGCCTTCAAATTATTTTGTGCAAATTAAGTAAATGAAATATAAAAATCAGTATTCTGCTGCGTTTAAATACTAAAGTTAGATTGTTAATATTTCAGCTGAAATATGACCTCCCTCATCCCTGCAAGCTTACATCTCTCATTCTCATTTTTTCTCACGATTTCCTGATTTCTCCCTCTCAAGGTCCAAGCAGAGATGGCACCATTGGCGAGGACACCATCCGTGCATCCCTGATTTCCGCTGTGAGCGACAAACTCCGCTGGAGAATGAAGGAAGAGATGGACAGAGCTCAGGCAGAGCTGGACGCTCTGAAACGAACCGAGGAGGACCTGAAGAAAGGACACCAGAAGCTGGAGGAGATGATCTCAAGACTTGACCAAGAAGTGGTGAGAAGTTCTTTCCTTTTGCAAAGTTCAACCGTTTATTCCCTCTCCGTCCTTCACTGGTATTTACCATAACACCTCACTGTTGTTTTCTGCAGGCTGAAGTTGACCGGAACATCGACCTGCTGAAGAAAAAGGATGAGGAACTAAGCGAGGCTTTGGAGAAAATGGAGAACCAGTCCGAGAACAACGATATTGACGACGTCATTGTGCCCACAGCTCCTCTGTACAAGCAGATCCTCAACCTGTACGCTGAGGAGAACGCAATCGAGGACACGATCTTCTACCTGGGAGAAGCTCTCCGCAGAGGTGTCATCGATCTAGAAGTTTTCCTCAAGGTAACCTGGTCTTATTCTTACAGTTTACAGTCGTCTGTGATGGCTTTGTTTCTGACGTGTGTTTTTCTGTTCCAGCATGTTCGCCTTCTGTCCAGGAAACAGTTCCAGCTCCGCGCTCTCATGCAGAAAGCCCGCAAGACTGCCGGCCTCAGCGACCTTTACTGACCCACGCTGACGATTCTGAAACAGGCATATCTTCAAACTCTTACTCTTCTTCCAGCTGTTTATTCCCTTTTTACTGTCTTCATGTATATCAACCAGCTGGCTTTTTTAAAGAACGGAAACAAAGACAAAAAGCATTTCTGAAGAATTGTGAAATGTTAAGGTGTTGCACTATTCATCACAAACACAACCCAGATGTGGAATTATCACTTTTATACCCTGATATTCTATAGGAACTCCACCACCTTTGTGAATCAGGACATGTGGTTGACATAAAAAAAACAGTGTGACACACATGCCAAATTAGTGAAATTTAAGTGTGTGTGTGCAGTGTATGCAACTTCTGAGTGTTGATGCTGTGACTGGTCATTGTTTACACTGGGTTTGTGTGTTGACCTGTAAACAGCATCCTGCCCTGATCAGTTTGCCCTTACTTGACAAAGTTATTTGTCCAGTAAGCACAAAATGARTAGACGAAGAACGGGCTGCTTGGTTTTGAAGTAAATGCCCACATGAACTGACAGGAGTCCAGCCTCAGGATTTGTGAATTACTGTTCAGTAGTTTTGGAGTTAAAGGGATTGTTTCTTTGTAGTAGAGGTGATGACAAAAATCGGACCCTACCTCTTTAATTTGGGCGAAACTGCCCCCCAGACTAAAAATTTTGCCCCTTTGAGTTCCATTTTGATGATCTGAGTCAGTTCCTTGTTTCTGTGTCAGCTGCTCAGGCTAACCCTTTAGTCTGACTGTTTTAACCAGTCAGTAAATAGTTGTTTCACTCTGTAAAGTCTTGTCATATTTAATTCTAAGGTATAACAAAAGGATTTCAACTCTTTTATTTTTTTGTTTGTTCGTTTGATTTACTTGTGCTATCCACTCCTGCTCAGTCCTGCTGAGAAAGTTGGGTTTTGGTTGAACTTAGAGGGATAAAATTTGTGAATAAAGCTGCAGGCTTAGAGGGTACAAAAATAAAAACTATAAAACCAATCGATATGTTAACTTATGTAAAGTTTTGTCTCTTAAATTAGCCTTTTTACTAAATGCACTTTGAAAACTGTATGATAGAATATTAGTTTTTTTTTCTTTGTTCAACTCAGCCATAGACCACCTGTTCTTTTATATCTGTAGATTTATGTAAAGCAGTAAAAATTAAAAAACATCTGGTTTTTGGTTTTATGAGTTGTGATCATTACAATATTGTGTTTTTGTAGTTAGGTGTGAAAGAAAACATTTTTGATGAACTCTTGAAGAATCTATCCTGCGTTGGGTTCACTCACATCACTCAGCAGTAGCATTATGACAGTTTGTACCAAACTCAAGGACTAGGTTTTTCAAACCTTGTACATGTTTGGAAGACAAGAACAAGACGACAGACTTGAATCGTTACTCTGGCAGGTTTATTTGATGTTGTGGCAAATAAAAACATCCATCTGCCGTGACATTAGTTTCTCTGTAAGCGATACAGTAAAATCYTGTAAAATAATCTGCATCTTTACTCATAAACGACAATGTAGCTCTTGAGCGAAATAGAAACTATTGGGGGATTTTGGTGCACAACAACCTTGGGACAGTTGACTCAGGACCTGATTCTGGGTAAAGGTACTAGCTGACTTTTCTCCACTGGCTCCCTGGTTCGGTTATGACAGAACTTTCAAGTGCAAAGCAGTAGATGCAACAATGCTTTTCTTGAATATATACTTCAGTATCATAGGACCTTTGCCCAGTAATACCCAACATGTGGCAGTGTTGTTGTACAGCAGGGAGTTTTCCTGGTAGAGAATGGAATGTCTCTGTTAGGCTTCTTTTATTGCAAGGTGGAATAAATAACTAGTAAAATCCACATAATACACATTGCACACAACGTGTACAGAGGAAGCAGCAATTGTACACGATGACAATAACAGACAGTACACAAAGTACATAGATCCAAAATGTGAAGATCTTGAGAACATTCGACAGGGAGTACAGTAAGTAGATATGTGCGCTCTCTCTAAAACAGGCTGACCTTAAAGACTAAGGGTGAGAGTTTCTAAATATTCACTCACAGATGGACGAGGACAGGTGGGATGTGGAAAAGGAAAACGATCTTAGCGAGTGAATTTCCGAGTGTAACACCTAGCTTTGTTCGGTTTAGCTACAAGCACTTTGGCTCCGTGATAATCTGCAGTCTCGTTCACCCGTCGCTGTGAGGGACACAAGGTGGGAAGGGCGGGCAGGGGGGTCAACCTGGAGAATTCAAAGCTGATCTCTTTCACAGGGTGAGCTCCTTCTGTACGCCCCACAGGGTTTCGGCACTCTTCACCAGCTGCTTCTCCTCTTCRGCTTTCAGGGTCATGTGGACGACATCCGTCAGGCCACTGTTGCCCAGAATGCAAGGGATGCTCAGGAAGACCTCGTCTTTCACACCATGCATGCCCTGTCGCAGGGTAGAAGAAGAACTGTTAGCAGATGAAGACATTTTGTCAGCGAGTTCTATAAATTGTTAGTTTTTAAATTTCCCCACCTGGACAAGTGTAGAGACGGGGTGAACTTTGTGCAAGTTCTTCATAATGCTCTCCACAAGGTCAGCCACAGACATACCGATCGCCCAGGAAGTGTAGCCCTTCAGCTTGATGACCTCGTAGGCCCTGAAGTGTTCAAGTCATACACGTGAATGAATCAAGTGAAAACTGCAAATGCCCTAAACTGGCAAAGAAATAAAAAAAAACAAATGATTTTCTTTATAATTATCGACACCTGATACACAATTTTTAGTGAGTTTAGTGCAGCTAAAACTTAAGCCTTTTTACTTTAGGTCTACCTTTTCTAATCTCCCCTTTTTCTTGAGACACCCTTTGTGCACATTCAGGATTCACGGTTTGGAACTTTTTAAATTCTGCAACTGATACATTAACATTTATGATAAGTTACTCTGTTGTGTTCCACATGGTTGAACTCTTTAAAACACCCAGTTACTGCAAGATAAGTCACGAGTGGCTGACAAAATGATGGTGCAATGTCAAGTGCAACAAAGTAAACTTTTGGATTTTGCAATACCCAGGAAAACGGCTCCGCCATGCAGTGTATCAAACAGGTAAAATATGTAAGCATATTTGATGCCACGTATTGTCTGGCATCTTGCTAAGCTAATTATGGGGAGTCAAGTGTAAAATAGAATGTTTAAGAGTTCCACTTTAGACGGATGGCCGGCACGCACAAAGCCGATAGCTTCAGAGATTGAATGTGTCGTAGGAACATTGGTAGGAATGCTTGTTTGAGTTCACTGCTGGTGAACAAACTGAACTCACCCATCGACCACCTGCTTGTGTACATCCTTCCAGTTCTCACTGTCATCATCAGCTCCCATCTGTGGGTTGAGGTTTTGAAGACAAACACCAGCGATATTCACGCCGCTCCACACAGCCACTGTAGAGAACATGTGAGTGACAGCAGATAAAGTCTAAGCTAGACGCAAAAAAAAAAAAAAAAAAACCTAGTCTTGTAGGCTAGAAAATGAACAGAGAGGGGTTTTATTATTTTTTTTAGAAAGACCAGCATACCACTGGAGTCTCCGTGCTCTCCGATGATCCAGCCGTGGCAGCTTGAAGGGTGGATGTGGAACTTCTCCCCCATGAGGTGGCGGAAACGGGCGCTGTCCAGGTTGGTGCCTGAGCCGATGACACGGTGACGGGGGAAGCCGCTCAGCTTCCACGCCACGTAGGTCAGGATGTCCACTGAGATGGAACAGAACAATCATTACCAGCTATTAGTCTGCACCGAGCAAGAAGCAACAGAATTGTCCAGTTGTTATCTGGTCCCGTTCCAAGTAAAACCACAGCTTCTCGTTGACTTTCATCTCCTCCATGCGACTCACCTGGGTTAGAGACCACCAGCAGGATGCAGTTGGGGCTGTATTTGACGATGTTGGGGATGATGAACTTGAAGATGTTAACGTTGCGCTGCACCAAGTTGAGTCGGCTCTCGCCCTCCTGCTGGCGGGCACCAGCAGTCACCACCACCACCTTGGAGTTGGCGGTCACGCTGTAGTCTAAAATAAAACGGCACAGTGTTAGTACTCAGCTGAGGGTCACGCACAAAGTCACCATTTGAGCACTGTCACCTTTGTCGGCTACAATCTTGTGCGTCTTGAGGAAGAGGGCTCCGTGCTGCAGGTCCATGGCCTCACCCTTTAACTTGTCCTCCATCACGTCAACCAGGGCCAGCTCATCACACAGGTCCTGATTTCAAACATATACAGTAGGTCAAGGCTACTTACGTCTGGTTTATTACACCTGGTTATAAAAATGAAAAGGGGCTAATTAAAACTAGAAGTAACCAGGCCTCGAAATGCCCCTCAGCCATGAAATGAACAGGTTAAATGAGTCATCATGCTTTTAAATCCTTCTTTTTCTCATTTAAATCATTCAGTTGGGGTCTATATAAAGTGGAACTGTAATGCTTTGSTTTGATTTCCTTCTTATTTTAACTATACAAGCCCCTCTTTGCTGTGTCTCAAGTCAACTCGTTTTGATGCTGTCCCTTTAAACCCAAACAAGGTGCTTCAAACCCCGCCCCCCTCCTGCTTYCACACCAGTTCATTCCAGTTTGATTACCACTACATAGCAGCGCAGAGGAGAATAAAGAAGACCAAATTGTAGTCGGTAAGTCCAGAAATTATTTTTCAGTTTCATCGCAAGTAAGAGTTGAGAAAATATGAGAAAACTAGAAAATATATGCAGCACCAAGTGGCTGCATAATGGCTAAAAAAAAAAAGTGGATTTGGCATAAAATGTCCCCTTTAAGATAGGCCGAATGCTAAATTTTGTGTCTTGTTTCGTACACACCTTGAGCAATATGCTGACGGCGGAGGCCATGCCCACCATGCCGACGCCGACCACCGTCACCTTGTTCCTGCAGCCAACAGGCTCCTCCTTCATCACATGGCTGATGAGCTTCTCCTTGGTGGACATCTGCAAAAAAATACACATAAAGAAAAAAAAACAAACTTTGAAGGATCTACAAAGAAAAATGAGGCTTTTGAGATTTTACACAAATGTGATAGTTGAAAAGGAAAGTGTAGTATTATGTAGGCTCATCACAGAGCATACGTGACTCATTTCACATCCTCCACAGGACTGAGTCAAAGCTGAATTTCCTTTATGTCACAACTGCAGAACCGAAACATGCACCACTCCTGTGAAAGCTTTTATTACTCAGATCTCCACGTCTTTACGCGAGAACTCATCTACATGTAGGATTTCACCGATGGCATGGCAACCCCTGCCTGCCAGGGAAATGACTGCAGCAGGGACCCTCCCCAGCCCACGTCACACACTGCTGTTTGCCTCCTGGTTGGGCGGCCTGAGTGGCTCTGCCTTGCAGACGGTTACGTCACCACTGTGACTAGGCTGTGTTTTCACTGTGATGTGAAGTGAAGCACGTAGTGGGGGGATAGCTCTCGACCAGATTTCCCTCCTGGACAGGATATTTAAGGACCTGTTAGTGATTCTGCACGCAACAGAAGCTCAGATTAAGCAGCTATATTTCAATTCTTATTATGTAATTGTTGCCTCCTTCAAAGGGGAGMGTTGAAAGCTTCCTAGCATCCCACCATTTGCCCTTCACCAAATGACTCACTGTGAGGCCTGTAGGATTACTGCATATGTGCTTTACTGTTAGAGGTTATATTATTCCACAATGCTCCTTGTACCCAGCAAATTAAAAGCATAATCTGCAATATTGCTTTTCTCAATTACTGAATTAAGGGTGTACTGACATTGAATGAAGTGAGGTCAAGCATCTCCTCTTTCATCTTGCTGTTAGCACCTCGTGCTCTGTCAATTTTAAAACCACAGCTACACACATAAAAAAATCTATCTATTTAAACATTTTTCTCCTTGTAACAAACACCTTGAAGAATTGCCCACTATCAGGAAATAAAAGGAGTTTTTTCAGTATACTCCCAACACTGCATGCTGAGAGTATACTGTAAGCCCTGCATGTAAAAGGGCTTGCTGTATATTCTTATGCTTGGGTCATTTATAGCCCACACTGATTAGGATGCTGCTGGGAGAAGAAGATGGTGTTACCATGACGAATATTATGGGAACTGTGCTGCAGTCAAAGCGGCATACAGAATAAACATGTCCAATCAGTGGCAGAAGGGGCGAGCAGAGACGCTGCAGGCCTCTATTTTCATAGAAATTAATTAATTTCTCATGTGAAGCAAAATAAATAAACAATAATCAAAAATAGAGCAACTTGTTTTATCGTGACAGTTATAGTGATGATGTCAGAGAAGCAGTCTTGGGTAAAAGGAAATTAATATATTGTTTAGTCAGATTGGTTGGTTTGTCTTACCTTTACGGTTTGGGTTAAAACAGGTGAAAAAAAAACACGACGTGGAATGTCACAGCTCGTCCACTCTTCCGCACAAGTGCAGCAGCTGTGAAAGGAGGGTCTGCGGGTTTTTAAAGGCAGCCTCTTCAGTGGGCGGAGCTCTGCTGCKGCTGATGGTGACGGGGACGCGGGCGCGCGCATCGTGTTGTGTGTCACGTTTACTGCAGGATGCGGCGCAGACGGAGTCAAAGTTAAAAACCGCAGAGCTCTTGAGTTTGAAAAAGACTATTGGAAAATTATGAGTCAAGGAAAACTAAATCACCCGCGTGGATTAGCTCCACGTGTCTCTAATTTCCCTCCAAGGCTCCGCGTGCCTCTAATTTCCCTCCAAGGCTTTCTGACTCAGTCGGTCTTATTCAACCAACCTACCAATGCTGTTGTTTGGAATTTATTCAACAAAAACAACGTTTTTGAATTGGAATAATTCAATGTAATATTATGACATGATCACATATACTTAAATAAATAGATCAAATAATCAGCTGCTCTGCGCCCCCTGCTGTCCAATATCCGTTATTACAGTATTTTAGACATTTCCAGGATCAATGTAGCCTGTGTTACCCAATTTAGGATTTTTATTTTTTGACTGATATAACTGACACATCTCACAAAAGACATCAGTGTGATGAAAACAAAATTAAACTTGCTTAAGAAGTTGAAAAACAAGGCAGAAAGAAAAAAATACTGAAATCAGCTAGCTGCAAAAACTGAATCTAGSAGACAACCAACTGAAAAACAGGAAAACACTCAAAGAGAAAAAAAGAGCCCAATTGCTGAATTAAGCAGAAAATAACACAAAAATGTGAAATTAGTTTTAAAAAGGCGCGAATTAGCAGAAACAAAACTGTTAAGAACCAGAGAAAAGCAGAAAAGAGCAGAAAGCAGGCTAAAGGAGCACATAAAGCTTAAACTAACAGATGTAAGTTGAAATAAGACTAATCTGAAATGACCAGAAACAAGCTGAAATGAGCTGAAGGAAGCTGAAATGATACAATCAAGCTGTAAAAACCTGAACAACTGAAATGAGCAGTAAAATGTYATAAACATCACAAAGCGTTTGAAGGATTTTGAAGGAAACTGTTTATTTTTCAATTAGAAATAAAGTGTCTGAAATGCAAATATTTCTAAAAGTAAAAATTGCACAAATACAAAAAGTCATAGCAGAAATGTACTGACTGAGCTGCACATTTTGATATATGAATTGTTGAAATACAAACCCCAAAACCAGAAAAGTTGGCACGTTGTGTAAATCGTAAATAAAAACAGAATACAATGACTTGCAAATCATTTTCAACCTATATTCAATTGAACACACTGCAAAGACCACATACCTAACGTTCGAACTGGTAAACTTTGTTATTTTTTGCAAATATTAGCT